TATTATTATTATTATTATTATTATTATTATTATTATTATTATTATTAAATCTTCGGTGAGATTCACAGCCTTTGTGGTTGTTTGGTAGCTCAACAGCTCGAGTATTGTTGTTGTTGTTGTTATTATTATACACAAAAACGACAGTGTACACAGCAAACAAGATAACTATGCTGGGTTTCGTATCACAAATCTCGAGTCGAACACTTCCCAAGCTTATTATTATTATTATTATTATTATTATTATTATTATTATTCACAAACACAACTGTACACAGCAAACAAGATAACTAAGCTGGGTTTCGTATCACAAATCACAAGTCGAACACTTCCCAATATTATTATTATTATTATTATTATTATTATTATTATTATTAATTATTATTATTATACACAAAAAACAACAGTGAACACAGCAAACGAGATAACCATGCTGGGTTTCGTATCCCAAATCACGAGTCGAACACTTCCTAAAAGTGCTGTTCTTGTTGTTGTTATTTCAACGGCTGTGAATTCCACGCATTCGTAACCCGTAATGAGTCCCAAACCGGTTGCGAATAGTCTCACGGAAGTTGTGCCTCGGTCCTTCAGGAGAATAGCAATAGGACTTAAGACTTATAACCCGCTTTATCGCGCTTTTACAGCCCTCTCAACGCGGTTTACTAAGTCCGCAATATTGGGGCCCCCAACAACCTGGCTCCTCACTGGACGCACCTCGGAAGGGTGGAAGTCTAAGGCTGGATCGGGACCCCCCTTTCTCTCCCTTGAAATGCCGCCGCCGACTAAAATGGCCCTCGAGCTGGGCGAGGCCAAAAACGGAGCGCAGAGTCAACGCGGAGCTTCAGGGTTTTTAAACCGACCCGAACAAATGAACGTTGCTTCCTGCAAAGGCTCCTGTCCCTTCGCTCCTCCTTTATGTTCTTCTCATTTCCAAGCCTTACTCCGCTTTCTGTCTTAACCGTTCTTGCCTTCTGGCGGCTCTGTGCAGGTGCGCCTTGGGAACGGGCTCCCGCCGTCCCTCTTCCTCGCTGCTATCAGATTCTAGAGGCCTCCGGAGTCGGCCTGTAACTCCCAGATGTCAGACACAGATTCCCTCCTCCGAGTCCCCTTCCCGCTAGAGTCCCGGACAGGCCCCGGTTCCTCCCCACTGTCCGACTCTGCTGTCAGCTGTGACCACAACCGCCTCTCCCTTCTTACCCCACTTACCGAGGGTTGGAGCACGGCACCCGCTGAGTGTTGACGTTATCACAAAGGGGTTCCCCACCGTGGAAAATTCCCGTCCGGACATAAATCTAGAAGGAGAAAAGAAGAACGGAGTTAACGCCTTCTCTCGGATGCAATCCTCGACATACCGTGGTTCCCTTTGTGACCGTTTGAAGTTACCACGGCACTCACGACCTTGGCGGTATCCCCCCGGTGCAGGCGATCAAAATTTGCCCGCTCGGCACTCATATTTTATGACGTCCTGCGATCCAACGTTTGGGCCCTCCCGGCACGCCAAATCAACGGGGGAAGCCGGATTCATCTAGCGACCGTGTTGCTACCTTAACAGCTGCAGCGATTCACTTCACAGCGTGGGCGGGGGGGGCAAGAGAGGTCGTCCAACGGGGCAGATTTTGGCTTCAGAAATGTCTTGTTTAGCGACCCAAATACTTGGCAGGCTCTGACTACGGTCCTAAGTTGAAGACTACCTGTAGTTGCTTCGAGCATCCGTCGGTTGGAAGGACGCCAACCGAGGTCACTTCAGACCAAAGTAAAACATGCTTTGTTTCCAGCGTTCGCCAATACTCTTATCCAGTCGTCACAGCGGCAGCCATTGAAGGGAATCAAGGCCCTATCCTCCCCCCGTAGACCAGCCCGTTCACGTTTCTCCTTTCTCCTCTCCTCCTTGCACGCCCTAGGATGGAAAGGGGATGGGCCTGGGGTCCTCCTCTGACTGCCCAGGCGGCCTCTGCCCTTCCCCAGTTTTCTCCACAACCTTCAAAGAGCCATACTTCCACTCCCTGTCGGCGGAAAGGCCCACCTCAGCCAATGAGAAGCCGCTGCTCTTTGGTCAACACAATTGAACCTTATTTCAAGTCGCCACGATTGGAAAAGACGGAAAACTGACCGGGACCTGTCATGTACTCTCTCGGCGTCTGAATCTGAGGAGGAAGACGAAAACAGCCGACAGGAAGTGGGAGCGGGACTCCGTTGGCTGGGGCGGAAACCGGGGAAGGGTAAAGTCCGACTGTCAACTCATAAAACATTTGGCGGACACAGTTTTATGGCGGACAACAGAAAGAAGCGGCGGGGGGAAGTTTCGAAGAGCAGGCGGCAGTGTGGAATCGAAAGTCCGTTCCACTCGTGTTTTCTTCAAAGACCGATTCGAGGATCGAAGCGGGGGGAAGTTTCGAAGAGCGGGCGGCAGCGTGGAATCGAAAGTCCGTTCCACTCACGTTTTCTTCAAAGGCCGATTCGATGATCGAAGCGGGGGAAGTTTCGAAGAGCGGGCGGCAGCGTAGAATCGAAAGTCCGTTCCATTCCTGTTTTCTTCAAAGGCCGATTCGAGGATTGAAGCTTCTGCCGCGCAAACATCTCATTGGAGAGCAGGATTGAGGACTCTGGGCTATGGACGCGTTTCGTTGGATGATACACCCAGAAGGGTGAGGTGGGTAAAGCAGGATCGCGGGTGACAGTGAATGACGTATCTCAGAATCGGCTACGCCCAGGTAAATGCCGGACGTAGAATGTTTACCTTCGAATAAATCTTTTTTTTTTTTTTAAGTTTTGGGTGTGTGGATCGCGGACTAACTGCTGGCATCCTGACACCGGCTGGGCAGAGCAGGGAAGACGTCGAACAAGGGAGAAGAGGGTTCAGAGGAAGACCCAGGCCCTCCTCCTCCTCTTCCATCTTGGCACGCCGAGAGGAATGGAGAAGGGAGCAACGTGGGTTGCCTGGCTTACGGGGTGAGGAAAGGGCCCCGGTTCTCATCATTAGCCACAGCTGAGAAATGAGACTTTAAAAGAACTGCATGCGGAGCTGCGGCAGCTGCCCGGAGCAAACATGAGTTTATCCTGTGTTGTCATGGCTTAACAGAGTTGGAAGGGACCTTGTAGGTCATCTAGTCCAACCCCCTCCCCTTCCCACCCAAAGTAGGAGGCTTAATCTGCGTTCCTGGCATTTTCCCAACCGTGTCGAGTTATCGCCATGCCGTCACGCCTGGAATTCTGGCTCCTGCCCTGCCAAGCTAATGATTTCCTTTTGCCTTGATTGGACTTGATGTTACCGTTTGTGTTGACCATGTTTTGGACTCGATTCTCTCCAGCCAAAGGGTGTTTACCTGGGAGAGGTTTTTCTCCGGCCCCGTAGAGTTTCCCGAAACGACGTTGACCTGAAACCACCCACCTTATCGATGTCCCTGATGTTCACGTTGACGTAGGTGGCGCATAGGATCTTGATGCGCAGGAGGCTGTTGATGGACCAGAGGGACTTGGTGGGCACGTCTCCGTTGACGTGCGAGGAGGTGGCCGACCGGCGCGCGTACGATGGCAACACGAAGACGTTGGCTGGCAGCTGGCTGTAGAGGCTCTCCTTGCTCATCAGCATGAGGTGGGGCAGGCGGCCGATGGCGATGCAGTTCCTCATGTACTGGTGGAAGAGAGGAGGAAAACACCGGGGGGGGGGGTGTCACAAGGGGCGATGTCACCACGACAACAACAACAGCTGAGGCGCAACAATCGGCTCAGCTGAGGCGCGGCAATCGGCTCAGCTGAGGCGCAACCATTGGCTCGACTGAGGCGCGACAATCGGCTCGACTGAGGCACGGCAATCGGCTCGGCTGACGCACGACCATCGGCTCAACTGAGGCGCGACCATAAGCTTGGCTGAGGCGCGAACATCGGCTCAGCTGAGGCACAGCCATCGGCTTGGCTGAGGCACGACAATCGGCTCAGCTGAGGCGCGACAATCAGCTCGGCTGAGGCACGGAAATCGGCTCAGCTGAGGCGCGGCAATTGGCTCGGCTAAGGCGTGGCAATCGGCTCAGCTGAGGCGTGGCAATCGCTTCCTCGCACGTCTGGCTACTTCTGACCACGGGCCAACCCGCCATTTCTAATCTGAGGGGTTAGCGGCCTCTACGGTTCGGAGACCGTTTGAAGGCCGCTCTCAATGCTCGTTCAGCTGGGCTGGTTTTTTTTAGCTCAGCTGAGGCACGCGGCCATCGGCTCGGCTGAGGCGCAGCAATCAGCTCGGCTGAGGCGCGGCAATTGTCTCCTCGCACGTCTGGCTACTTCTGACCACAGACCAACCCGCCATTTCTAATCTGAGGGGTTAGCGGCCTCTACGGTTCGGAGACCATTTGAAGGCCGCTCTCAATGCTCGTTCAGCTGGGCTGGTTTTTTTAG